TTAATGCCATCATCGCGACTATGTAGGCCTCGGGCGCCTGGTGAGTGCTTGCTGGCATTGAGCCCACGGCCAGTCGGGTCATACATAGTTGTATCAAATGGAATTGGGGGATTGTCGTTGTGTGGGGTCCGGTTTCTGGTCGTCATGGCGCGAGTATTCATCACTGATATGGAACGGCGACGTATTGTGTGTGTAGCAGGTGGGTTGAGAATGGGTGAAGCATGGGTAGGAGTCAAGGTTGATGAAGTGACTGGTGGTACGGGTGTCTCTATCATAGCGACCGAGTATTGGTGTGCGCGAAGGGACGCAGTATCGGCAAGTGCAATCTGCTGCTGCTCTTGGATAGCCCGCTCGGCTTCGATATTGTCTGGATGAGTGGGGCACTCGCGACTGTCTATGGCGTGACCAAAAACACCGCATCGTTGGCAGCGAGGTGCGCGGGGAGGACGTTTTGTGCAGGAGCGTAGATAATGCCCTTCCTCTCGGCAGTATCCACACACAGGTGTGATATCGGTGGAGCGGAGCTCAGCAAGGCAGGAAAGAGACCCACCAAGGTGGAGACGGCTTGGGAGACTGCGGACTTCATCTTGTCCAGAGGTGTCTAAATAGATAGTGGCTTCGCCACGGAAAGTACCACGGTGTGAGAGATAAGCTCTCAGCTGAACGATTTTGCCAAAAGGCCGGAATGCATTTTCGATGGGCTCGAGTAGATCTGTGCTAGGATCGCAGGCGTTAATACGGTAAAGATTAACCTTAACAATGTGGCTGTTAGAAGGCAATCTTGGTGTAGCAATGATTCGGGTGTTCTGATAGGTCAACCCGTCGGACGTTGCTTTGGTGCGGGAGGAAGGGTTAGTAAAGAAGGCTTCTGCCAGAAGGTCTTTTGAGCGAGTATAACGGAGAGTGAGAGAGGTCATCCGGCCTACACAGTCAGAGAGAACATCATCCACGTCCCTTGCGGGAACGAGTTTTCCGAGATTAAACAAGACACTCATTGGATGGATGGTACTAGCCCATGCAGCGGATGCAAGATCCACAATCATATTCTTGTCAAAGTTGGGAGCAGTGAAGATGTGCAAAGATTTGTTCTTTGGACGTAGTGTTGTAGACTGGGCACGGTTAGGTGGGTTACCTTGCCGTAACGTGTGTGCCCTGTCCTGTGGGTTCAATCCCTCAGGGGTACTCATGTCAGAAAACGTTAATTGGTATTAACTTGTATCGGTTATATGAATTTCCGTAAAACTATTCTTTTGTGACTGTAGTATAGATTTTGTTGCTTTTTAAGAAACATAATTGATTTAAAGCTATACTATCCCTTTTGGTATTCGAACAAATTAAACAATATTACAATATCATAACTTTCCCAGAAATAAGTATTTATTTAAGGTACTTCTCACGTCCCCAGACCTTACACACAGAGACATAACATATGTAGTAATAATGTAACATAAAATTTCCAAAATGATAAAAATATTGTACATGTCGAAGGTGTATTTTCACCTTCAAAATGTAGATAAAATGCGAGATAATGTCCCATATACATCATACTAAACAGCCATATTTTCATAGCTATTTTTCATAAAAAAATAATTATGCTAGTGTTATTTTATTTCTTCATTTCTATTTAATTGCCTTTTACTAATAAAAATACACACATTTATAAAATGGGCTATAAAACTGTTTGAGGCTCTTCAATCGTCCAAATTGGTAAGGGTATAAGTCCACCAATTGTATCTATTGTCATTTGGATATCGATCAGTAACCCGGAATTCCGTTAAATTTACAGAGAAGCCCAAGAAATAATAATAATGAACGTCTATATTAACATGCCAACTTTTTGAAAGCGCATATTGGGCCTAGAAGTGAATAAATAATCACTGCAAAATAATAAATGCTCTTTTAAAGGAATGTCTTTGCTCTTCTGAGTCATATATCGATTAGGAACTCTAAGGGCAAGCATTAAACAATGCCTGAAAGAAATCTTCAACTCCTTCTTCTCCAAGAACAGTATAAATAAGGTTGTCGTAACTAAATATTACTTTGCCTTATTAAAAATGGTGTAAAATAAAATAAAAACAAAAAATAATACAAAAATATGTAAACCCTATGGTGGAATTTTAGAGATTAAGTACAACAAAAATCGCTCGAGTAACATACAGTTCCAAAATTGTTTCATGTAAGGTTTGTATTTTAGGTATCGTGTGATGCTATGGTGGAAAGACTTGTGGCGTGAATACCACCATTAACTCTTCTTATGCACTCTCTATATGGTCTGTGTCCATTCATTCGTTGTTGTAAAAGGCATATGTAGTCGCACTCGGAAACCTATAGTTTTGGCAGTCTATCTGTCATTCATTCCGACTTCCGCAAGTTGGTTCTCTTCTTTATTTTCTGACCACCCTTCAAAGAAAATAATAACGTGTTTCACAAGCCAGATGAAGAGAACATTAGCTTTTCATATGATTTATTCCACAATGCTTTCATTAAAGTCTAAAAAAAAATTGACAGCAACAACATGAACTTATGATAGCTGGTTGATTTTGAGTATATTCATATATGAACATGTTTTTTCGACAGCACTTGTATACTAACAGCTTTTATTATTATTTTAAGTTGTTTGTTTACGGACAGCTGATTGTGCCTTGTAAATATTTACGGTTACCTCAATGATTCAAATGTAAGGGGCTTCTAGCTTTCGATTTTAATTTTATTCACACGCACATATCTATTTCAATACACTTGTTTTTTACGTCTCTCTATCTCTCTCTCATCTTTATATATTATTATTATTAGTATTATGGGATTCTCAACAATACCAGCCGAGATTCTTTTGAAAATCGCCGATATTGTATTGCCAGAAGACAGACGCTCTTGTTCTCTTACGTGCAAGGGATGGAGATACATGTTTCAAGAGATTCTGTGGAAAAACATATATATTCATGACTGTGATAGCTTGCAGAATCTTATCGACATGGTTAAAGTCTCCCAAAGTACATCCATATTTCGCGGCCCCTGGGTTTACAGTCTACACATAAATTATTATTGCTCTGCGCCAGAGATATTAGCGATACAATTCTCTGAATTATTCAGATACCTACCAAACCTGAAGTGTCTGCATTTAAACGGTGAAATATATAAATATATTTACACAGATACAACAAGATCAGACAACGTATGGAATTCTCTGGAAATTTTGATAGTAAAATACAGCGCATATACAGAAAGACAATCAACAAAAGAACTACCTGAATTTATAAATACATGTAACATGCTCCAACAATTACAAATAATTAAGTACGGAGATGGTTTTTGCTTGGAGTTCGGTGTGGAGGACTTTAACAACATGCACCAAAACTTGCAAAGCCTATCGTTTATTGACGCTGAAATGTATCTCAGTTCTGACTTTTTGACTACACTGAACACAATTCCATATACGACGCCGGCACTTTCCGTGACGTCCCTGGATATAAACTCGAAAAAATACGAAAACCATGACGGTGAATTTAGTAGAAACTGGAACGAATGGAATCCTTTATGGCTATACTATTTTGGCTACAAGTATCCAAACTTGCGATATCTAAAGCTAGAAGCTACGGACATGTGCTCTGATGCGATAAGCTCAGACGAGAGGCAAACAATGATATCTCTTTTTCGATCCAACCCCAACGCATTTCAGCACCTTGAAACATTTGATCTCACTACCGACAGATATTTCGAGTCTTCCGATCTTATTTTATGGGAATTGCTTTGTGCATTAAGAGTTCCTCTTAAGCATTTGTCATTGGATGCAACAAATAATTACGCAGTAGACGATTCAAACCCAGTGGATTTCAGCAGAATTATACAATCCTTTTCTGAAACACTCGAGACTCTTTCTCTTACAGGGTTTTTATATAGAGAGGTGGACCAGAATTCAGTCATGGAAATACCCTCTTACTGCCCGTTTTTGACGAACCTTTGCATCAGCGGCAGCGATGTGTTGCTTTATATAGATAGCATATTGGACAGATGTGTGGCCCTCAAACAGCTAGAAATTTGTGGTGGAAGATTGTTAATTAAGTCAAGAACGACAACTGAAGAGACAGATCAGCATCAGCATAGCCTTCGATCTTTGACATTGGAGAAATGCTCTATAGCGCCTGAAGTACTTACTTGCATCTCTTTCAGATGTAGAAATCTGAAACGTATGGATTTGAGGTCTTTGTGGATTGGCGAATCTGTTTGCGAAAAAACCGGATGTTTGTTAATCGACATGTCACATACTTTCTTAAAGACTTTGAAAATTGGCCAGGTTCAATTCCACGGATCAGACCGAATACATAGTTATGGCGATTGGGCCAGTCTGGTACTCGTATCTGAATTATATGACAATCCGCTGTCAAATGAAAGGGACACAATAAAAAGAACAGAAATAGATTCAAACTACCCGAGAACAGAATGTAACAATATCACATGGCTCTACACATATAATGATATGGAATATACTGACTGCTTTCAGTTTGCTGACATTTATATCCAATTCCGAGCTTGTCTTCTTCTTTTTGTCCTTCTTCAGAAAAAAGATATTGTGTTACAAAAGCCAAATTGACAAGGTGTTAGATTGTTATGTGTTTACAGTGCAGTGCTTTCATTAAAGTAGGAAGTAAAAATAAAATAAAATAGCAGCAGCTTGAACTAACAATAGCTATTTAATAGCAAGTATATTTATACATGAACATGTTATTTCTTTAACACTTACATACTATCAATGTTTCTTAGATAAACTTCTTTGTGTGTAGGCAGCTTACTGCGCCCTGTACACCATAATGGTTACCTCAATGACTCAAATGTAACCAAATATGTATCTCATAGTATCAGCTTGCCGGCGTATTTCTCTTTTTATAACTGTCGATATTAGTTTTATTGATTTTATATATATATATATATATATATATATATCAATATATTCTTTTTCCTCTCTTCCTCTCTTCCTCTCTTCCTCCCTTTATATAATTCTTATTATGGGAATATCAAAACTACCATACGAAATTCTTGCACAAATTGGGGATAATCTATCGACAACGGACAGACACTCTTGTACTCTTACGTGCAAAAGATGGAGATACCCGTTTCAAAATGCTCTGTGGAGAAACATGTGGATATTTACCTATGAAGGCATGCAAAGACTTACCAACAATATTAAAAACTCTCAAAATATACCCGCAACATACCCCTTTTTGGTTCACAGCTTACACATACGTCTTCGCCGTTATTGGCCAGAAATATCAGACGAGAAATTTTCTACGCTATTCAGATGCTTTCCAAACTTGAAGCGCCTGGACATAGAGGATATAGTGTATACAGATATTTATACAGAAATAACAAGATCTGACAATATATGGAAGTCTCTGAAAAGTTTGAGAATACAATACAGACAAACCGGTGAAACGGACCAAGCACAAATCCTTCTTGAACTTATAGCTACATGTAGCTTGCTTCATGAATTAGAAATACTTAAGAAAGGACCAAGTTGTCGCATAGAGTTTGATGTGTATGACTTGGACAGAATACACCAAAACTTGCAAAGCCTATCATCTATAAAGGCTAAAATATATCTCAGTCCTGACCTTTCGGCTGCATTGGACACAATACCAGATACAACACCGGCTTTTGCAGTGACATACCTAGATATAAACTCGAAAAAATTCGAAAACAAAAGCGATTATTTGAATGGAAATTGGAATGAATGGAATCCTTTGTGGCTGTATTACTTTGGTTACAAATATCCAAACCTGCGTTCGCTAAAGCTGAATTCCACGGGGATAAGTGGTAATCTAATAGATGCAGACGAGAGGCAAAGAATCATATCTCTTCTTCACTCTAATCCAAATGCATTTCAACACCTGGAAACATTCGATTTTACAAACGACAAATATTTCGAGCTTTCTGACTTTGTTTTATGGGAATTATTTTATGCTTTAAAAGTCCCTCTTAAGCATTTGACGTTGGATGCAACACAAGATGGCAAAGTAGACGATTCATACCCAATTGACGTTAACACAATCTTACAATCCTTCTCTGAAACACTCAAGAGCCTTTCGGTTACAGGTTTTACATATAACTACAATGACCAAGATACGGCTATCGAACTATCCTATTACTACCCACTTTTGACAGACATTTGCATCAGTGGCAGCAATGTGTCTCTTAATCTAGACAACATATTGGACAAATGTGTGGCCCTTATACAGCTAAAATTTGGTGGTGGAAAATTGTTTATTAATCCAAACACAACAACCAAGGAATCAGAACAGAAACAGCAGCATCATGGATTAATGGTTTTGACATTACTAAAATTCTCTGCAGCCGCTGAAGTATTTAAGAATATCTCTTTTAGGTGTAGAAGTTTAAGACATATGACTTTGAATGGCTTGTGCGCAACGGGATCTATTTGCGAAGAAACCGGACGTCTGTTATTTGACATGTCACATACTTTCTTAAAGACTTTAAACATCAGTCAGGTTCAATATTGCACGTCATACGAAGAAATGAATGCAAGCAATGCTGGTGGTCTGACCCTCCTGTCTCAATTAAACGACTCTCAATTATCAGATACAAAGAACGGAAGAGAAAAAGAGAATATGGATTCCGAATGCCCTGTAGTAGCAATTCACAATATTGATTGGATCTATACATATTGGAACTATGGGTATAATTATGCACATATACTAGACACTAGAAAACTTTCGAAGGAAGAAGCCGATATAGCACTTGAGTACTATCAAAACTTTCAGGCGAGTAAAATCAGCGAAACGTTAGAAGACTTTGACTTCTATGATAAAAAGATCAAATATATGGACGATAAACTCGAGCTTGACAAAGGATACAGCGAATTGAGATTTGGGAATATTGAAACTGTTCTTATAAGTACATCAAACAGTAAGACGTGTTAGAGAATATGATATATATTATGCTCTTTTGAAATTACAATAAAATATAAAAGAAAGTAAGAAGAAAAAAACTTATACAAATTACATGGCGTGATTTTAACGGTGAGTATACAAAGACAAGATATGAGCTGCGGATGAGCAGAATCATAAACCAAGGCACAAAATCTAAAAAAAAAATCGAATTTATAGTCGCCAAGCCATTAATATGATACTAAAGTAATAACTACGCTATCTTGGAGTGGATGTCTCAACTTTCTAGGTTACAGCGTAAATTAATGAACTCTTCTTGTGCACTCTTCAATTGTTCTGTGGCTATTATTGATATATTGTAAAATAGAACATCTGTAGTTGCACTCGGGAACAAGGTTGCCTTCGATTGGTTGTTATTCATTTCTATTTTCCTTAGTTTGTCTTCTTTTTTGTCCACACTTAAAAAAAGGAGAATGTGTTACAAAAACCGAATTAACAAGGTTTTACTTTGTTAGATATTCAAGGTATAATGCTTTTAATACAATTAAAAATAAAAATGCAGCAGCCTGAACTGAATATAACAATTTGATCTTGAATATATTCATACATGAGCATGCTCTTTCGACACTGCCTGTGTACTAGCTGTATCCTTTATATTTGATTATTTTTGTGTAAAAAACTGACTGCGTCTTGTACATCTTTATGGTTACCTCCATGATTCATATGTAGCCAGAAATTGTAACTCACATTATCAGTTTGGCGCAGCGTTTATCCTCTTCTTCTAGATGACGACTTTAATTTTTACTGTCATATATATATATATATACATATATATATATATATATCAATATAGTCGGGTTTAACCTCTCTCTATCTCTCTTTCTTTCTTTTCATAAAATTTCAACATGGAATTATCTGAACTACCATTTGAAATTCTTTTGCAAATTGCTGATAGCCTATCAACAAGAGACCGGTTGTCTTGTGCTCTAACGTGCATGGGATGGAGATACCTGTTTCAAAGCGCTCTGTGGACAAGCATACGAACTAATGACTTTTGCAACATTAAAATACTTATCGACATTATTAAAGGTTCCAAAAATACATTCGTATCATACGGTCTCTGGGTTTACAGTCTACGAATAGGTCATTATTATGTTGAGTCAAGAGCATCAGAGACACAATTTTCTGAATTATTCAAATGCCTACCAAACCTGAAGCACCTGGATCTAGATGAAAGAAGCCATATATACTTTGACACAGACACAGCAAGATCAAACAAAAAATTGAATTCTCTGAAAAGCTTGAAAATAGGATATACGACAAACAAATATATACAGCCAACAAAAAACGTCTTGAAAACTATAAATGTATGTAGCATGCTTCAAAGATTAGAAATACACAGGTTCAGAAGGGGATTTCGCATGGATTTTAGTGTGGATGATTTTGACAACATGCACCAAAAATTGCAAAACTTATCGTCCTTTGGTGCTGAAATATATTTTAACCCTGACTTCCCAGCTACACTGGACAAAATTCCAAGTACAGCACCGGCTTTTGCTATTACATCTGTAGATATAAACTCGAAATTATATGATAGTGTAATCGGGCAAGAAACTACAAATGATAATAATTGGAATCCTTTGTGGCTGTACTATTTTGGCTACAAGTATCCAAATTTGCGTTCTCTAAAGCTACATGCCACAGATATGCGTGAGAATATAAAATATTCGAACAAGAGACAAACAATGATATCTATTTTTCAATCCAATCCAAACGCATTTCGACATCTGGAAGCATTCAGCTTGACAACCGACTGTTTTTTCGAATTTACCGACCTTATTTTGTGGGAATTGTTTTGCGCATCAAAGGTTTCTCTTAAGCACCTGGCGATAGATATAGCATATGGCTCCTATAATTACTATTCATACCCAATCGATCTTAACAGAATTTTTCAAACGTTTTCGGAAACACTCGAGAGCTTTTCGTTTACAGGGTGTATGTATGTCGGTAGTGGTCAAGAAATGAATTTAGACCTATCTTATTACTACCCGTTTTTGACGAACCTTTGCATCAGTAGCTGGCACATATCTCTTAATATCAATAATCTATTGGGCAATTGTGTATCCTTTAAACAGCTGTTATTTAGCGGTGAAAAAATTACTAACTAATACAAACACAATAACTCAAGGGTTAAAGCAACAGGAGCGGAATCTCTGCCAGCATGGACTACAAAGTTTGACGCTACAACGATGCTCTGTGCCTGCTGAAATATTCAATTACCTTTCTTTCAAGTGTAAAAGCTTGGATCATATGACTTTGAATACTATATCTGTCGATGGATCTATTTGTGAGAAAACAGGGTGTTTGTTACTTACATGTTGCATGATTTTTTAAAGACTCTGGAAATCGGCCATCTTCAATACAACATATCAAACCAAACAATTAATACAACTACTTGTAGTGTTCTGACACTCCTGTCTCAATTGTACGACGCTCCATCATTAAATGAAAAGAACAAAAAACAAAAAACGGGGATGGATTCGAAGTACCCTATAGTAGCAAGACACAATCTCAAATGGTTCTATAAGTATTGGCCTCTTGAATGCTATGTTGATTACAACATGGGAGCTTTAAAGCTTTCAAAGGAAGGAACCGATACCGCACTTGAATACTATCAAAAATTCCATTTGAACAAAGCCAGCAAGGTTTTAAAAGACAACAGATTTTATTACGGGCATGTCCCCTTAGTTAAAAGGAAATGCGAACTTAACAGAGGATACGCAGAATTGAGATTCGGCAAGATTGAAACACCTCCTGTTATATGTCCAACAAAGTATTACTTTAGTAGAGAATAATATAATACAGTATAAACAATGTATAAAATAAAGCAACGTCTGACGGTGTGTATGCTTTGAATATGTATAAATGATTTTGAATGTGAGGCACAGTTTGTCTAAATATCCAAATGTCTAAATGTATAATTGCATAGATATGATATTTAGTCATCGTATGATGATCACGCAGGTACCTATAATCTGACCATACAAGGATCTAACATAAGGTCAATATAAGGCGAGCGTGGTTCCTTTTTATATACGCAATCCTGTTCAACCAATACCATATAGAGCGCAAGCTGGTTGTAAAGGTGTATACTTTGTGACACTAATGGAAAAATCGGTATTTTCATTCCACACATTGCCCTCAAAAGTTAGGGAAATGACTGACCGACAAGTATTGGTCTACATAAGGTAAACCGATTAATTTTTTACCTACATTGCTGGCATATAAGATTCTCGTTCTGAGGCAAATATATCCATTTCTATATATATATATATATATATATATACGTAGAAGGATATATGATTTAGTAACTAAAGTTAAAAAAGAGTAAATACAATGAAATGGAGCTACTTTTGAGTAGGCAACTTTCGAAAATTTTAATATTCATCTAAGATGCTGTGAGCCAAGACGAGTAAGAAAAGGATATGAGCAAGAGCTTTCTTTCGTATGTTATAGACATGTGTCTGAAGAACAAAGACAAAAATTCTATACTTTAATACAATAACAACGCCATAAATCATACCGGCTTTTATGCATATCTGTGGAAAAATTCTTACCAAATCAATGGCTTTGAGTATTATGACCAACTCAAAACTCACGCTACAGCCATATTAAACATATTTATCTGAATTTTGAAACGTAAGTTTAGTGAACAAAGAACATACATAGACATTATAGGGAAGTCTGAAAGGTTTAAATTCAATAAGAGTAGTAGACAATAGGTAACAGATCTTCTTCGTTTTTTTTAACGGGAAATATAACAAGTCCGGATTTATCTTATACACTTTAGAAAACCTCCTATAATAGTATCAGAAATATCGACTAGAGAATTTTATTATATAATAGGGGGTTTCAACAGTTCTTTAAGCTTTAAAGCAGTAACCAATAATACGTAAGAGTTACTAAGTGTTTTTGAGTACCCTAAATGATTCTTTCAATTCTATTAGGCATTGTGATAATATAATATAAATTTAAAATAGTATTGAAAGAGACAAAGATATTTGCATCAAGGATTTATTAAATTTCCAAAAAAAAATTAAATTTAAGCAAGGACGTATTATCCATATTCGGATAGTAATACTTTTATAAATGTTAAACTTTTCATTCGTTTAGATACCAAAACAACCTTGATGACCCAAGTTATATACTTTTTCAGCCAATTGGTTTCATGTATTCAGTACCAATT